ATAATATTTTAAGGATTTAATTGGGCACAGGTTATTAAGGTAAGGCTGATTATTGTAGATGCTCTTAATCGAAAATTTTCTTCAGCTTTACAGAAGACACTTTGTGTGATCTCAATGGTAATAGGAAAAACCTGACTGAACGTAGTTTCTCAAAAGTACACGAGGACCGCAAATGTAGTACTGATTTTTGAGAATGTACAATGTAACATTGGACATTGTACATTTCAATGTGCAATCGTTGTGCCAGTTTCGTTTTGTCAGCCACAATCGTTTTCAGACAGCTTGAAAAACACAAAATCACGCGACAAAAGATCTTTTGGACCCCGTATGTGAAGGCATAGCTCATAATCCGTATATCATATGCAGGGCCCATGACATCAAATGGTGGTTTCTTTTGGTGAATATGAACTGATAATAAAATCCCAAGATCGAGAGAATTGCTGAAACCCCTGTATAGTGTTCGTGCAGGTTCGCAGCAATTCTCTCCAGCTTATAATTTTAGAATCATGTCATACTCACCAAAAGAAGCCGCCATTGAATATCATGGGATCTGCAAATCCTCCGCGAAAGAGTGTGGAATACTTTTCATACGGAGTCTAAGAGATCGTCCGTCGCGTGATTTTGTGTTTTCAAAGCTGTCCTTTTTTGAGCGCAGATAAGTCGCGTTTAGTTGTGTTGAGTAGCTAACAGACGAGCGCCGTCATATCAAGCGTGTCTGCTAAATGTGCTCTAATTTCAATGTACTTTCGATCCTTATGCTCTGCCAATGATGCACAGTGTATCAAACCGTTGGCGAACTACATAAATGATAGGGACTGCTGTTCTCGCAATGCAGTTTTTACTGCTTGGTACTCCCAGGATCAATATATATATATATATATATATATATATATTATATACATGTAGTTTTTAAATGCATATATATATATACACACACACACACACACACATATATATATATATATATATATATATATATATATATATATACATGTCCTGATGGTGTCCTGAGCCGCCCGCCCAGGACATCAAATAACGTCGGTTTCTTTCTGTTCACCCTCTTCATCTGGCTGGGCCCATGAGCCGGACGTGGGAGTCGTCGGGGCATGCTGTAAACGCATCAGTGGCAGCACCGAACCGTATCCGTGTCAAGTGTTGAACATGGGGGTTAATAACAGGGACAATTTCAGTAACAGCTTTGTATTTCCGTCATTTCATCCATTGTTTTCCATTCGTTATGCAATCCTTATCCATTCCCTATTCATTCATGGGGAACGGATAAATCAACAGATGCTCCCTGAGTGACAGTGCCAGGACACGGTTGGTTCTGTGCTGCAGATGCTTCTGTACTTGGCTCAAGACAATCCTCTGCCATTTGCGGCAACACACACAATCTCTGTCTGGAACGTAAATGAGGTGGCCGAAAAATGTATTGATGTATGCACATGTGTGCAGATATCGGTGCGTGCACGTGTGTGCACTTGAAACATGTGAGAGACGGGCAACAAGAGGAGGTTGCTACGACTTGGGTATTTATTTGGCGTTAGAACACTTGCAACTTGGAGACACCCCTAGTGTCTCGTATTTGATATCTCTGTATTCGGTGTTAGCACCTTGCCGCCTGGAGACACCCCTGATGTCTCGCATTTGATGTGTCTGTATGCGCGCTTGACGTTTCTCTTTTGCACTCTTGAAGTCTCATATGTGCTGTATCTGAGTTTGGTGCTAGCACCCTACAGCTTGGAGACACCCCTGATGTCTCGTGTTTGATTTGTCTGTGTTTGGTGCTAGCACCCTACAGCTTGGAGACACCCCTGATGTCTCGTGTTTGATTTGTCTGTGTTTGGTGTTAGCACCTTACCGCTTGGAGACACCCCTGATGTCTCGTGTTTGATGTGTCTGTATTTTGTGTTAGCACCTTACCGCTTGGAGATACCCTTGATGTCTCGTGTTTGCTGTGCCTGTATTTGGTGTTAGCACCTTACCGCTTGGAGATAACTTGATGTCTCTTGTTTAATGTGTCTGTAGTTGGTATCAGCAACTAATCACTTGGAGACGCCCTTGATGTCTCGTGTTTGCTGTGCCTGTTCGTAGCGATAGCACCCTATCGCTTGAAGATGCCTTTGACGCCTCGTTGAAGCGAGAGGTTCGAGCTTTGCTATAGCAATGAGTCTCACACCGTCAGATGCACTTATGATGGTTATTACATCAATACCGCAAGAGCGCAAGAACGCTGGTGAGAAATTTCTAGGGCCGATGACGGCGTAAGCACTTTCGACCCAGCCAGCCGGGTGGTTGATCACATCGACCGATGGCGACAGACGCCAGCGTCGGCCACCAGGCGACAGCACCGTCGGACCGCCGTCGGGCCGACGAGAAATCCAGTGCGGATTGTGGCTGTGCCAGCGGCGGGTCGATTGTGTCTGGCGACTGCCAGCCGGGGACACCGGCGGTCACGGAACGCTGTCACGGGAGCAGGACCGTCGTGCCAGAGCCACCGTCACTGCCTGACCCACCGGGGACGGACATCGCGGCTCGTGTAACAGGGCGCGACAGACCACCTGAGACCGGCCGCAACAGCCGTGAGTGCAGTGGGTGTAAGCTGCATGTCAAAGACAAAAGGCACACAGATATCAGACGTAAAATTTTATCCAAAGAAAGAACCACCAGGGCCCACCGAGGTTAATCTACCTCGGGTTTCGTGCACATCCCCCAAAATAATCTCACCACGTGAAGCAGTTGGCTCTGGAAGCAGTAGACGTCCGCGGAAACAACCCTGTCACTAACGGCAAAGTAACATAGGCGCACGCTCCGCTCGTTTGACAGTCCACCACCTGCTGCCAGCGGAGGATGATTTCCTTGCCGAGGGTTCAGTCTCGAATTCTCAGCAGGCAAGTCCTGGTGAAAGGAATCAAGGAGGGAATCTTGAATGAGTCCCCTTACATCTTCGTCTGAACCAGTGTGATCGGTTGGTTTCAAAATTGCCCCGCGATCAACATTACCGAGTTCGTGCCTTATTCAGATTTTACTAAACATTGCATAGATAAGATCACCCTGTAATGTCATTTGAATATTGTATTTGTAACTGCCTAATGATGTTCTGTGTCGGACGAAATGTTGCAAGCGCATGCATGTTTAATGTATCTCATCATTGAGCTACCGAAGCACAAGTGTGTTCGTGAGATCGAGAATTCTGCAGAGGAAGCTATTGCGCAACAAGTATTCGTATACATTCCTCCTATTACTGCTGAAGCCGTACGCGTCTGATGTAACAGTAAGTGAAAAGAGAAGATGGGATACTCGACTTGGCATTGCGTTGTCACATTACCTTGAATGATTCCGCAGGAATTGTCGTCGCTGATAGTCATGGCTTGACTTCTACATTCCACCTTTCATATGTCAGCGATGTGACCCTTTAATCTAACTCTCCATACCTAAAGACCCGTTATTCAATTGTCTATAACTATGCCGAATTTGGCGAGGCGTAACGGTGTCAGAACTTTCTCTCCAGCGAAGCCGGATGTTGACCTCCGCAAAGAAACGCGTGATCGCCGTATATGGCTGTGCACCTACCAACGCCAAAACCGCTACGCCGCACCGATCAAAAATTATTTTGGAAACCTATGGAAGGGGAGGGGCCAAAGTGACCGCCGACCAACGCGCGTATTCATAACAATCCATTTCAATGTCCTATTAATAGCACGCGCTTTTTTTGCAACACGGTTACAGCTCCCATCGTTGTTTCCACAGAGCATTTTTGGGTATGGAATGCAGGCAGTGTGCTTTTAACCTGAATCCCACACAAGTATAGAGGCATGTCACGCTTGATGTCATGTCAAGAAGTTAAGATGAAAAATGTGATCCGGCGCCAAATTATGGCCAAACATTGTCGTGCGCAACCTGCATGCCAGCGAGAATCTTAGCCCTAATAATGTATCATTACCTTGCAGGAATGGGTATGGCCACCTTGATCTAATTGAAGAAAGAAAGGAAATTGCAGTTGGGTATAGATCTGGCCGATGGCCTGACCTGCGTAACGGGATAGCTAGATCTGTTAATGTCGCCGGATGTTTGCCTCCCCAAAGAGACGCATGTTGCTCGTATATAGCGAGACGCCTACCAACACTAGAACCACCCTCCCTCCCCTCCTAACAAAAGTCGTGACTGCTCTCTCCATCAAATACAAATCGTAACAGCTGAGCGAATATATGATGCATTGACCTTCACTCGCCTAAGGTCATAAGACACGCAAAGGCTTGTAAGATTTCAGTGGTAAGCGCTTGAATATGGGGATGACCTAAGTCCTTCATGCTTATCTTTTCGTCCTAACCTTCCAAACTAATCTTCATGGCACTGGCTTCATGGCAATCCCCGTCTCCCACAACCAAAATGCTACCATGACTGCGATAGAGAAGCGCCTTTGGCGCCCTAAGGTGGCCTTTGGCGCCCTAGGCAAAAAGGGCGTCTTCACTTGCTGATCAAAAGAGGCGCGTGCGTTCATTGCCTGCCCCGTGGAACGACCCGTGCTTGACCAGCATGCTGCTTAGATTGGACTTTTTATGAACTATTCAACACTAAAAACCTTAGCTTACCTTGCCCCAAAATAAAGTGGTCTAAAGCCCGATGAGAGAATAGGAGGGGGAAGTTTGGTTATCGTGAGTTCAGTTCGGCCCCGCGCCCAAAAATTCACAAAAGTGAACACCTCTTCAACCGCTGGCGTCAAGACGTGTTTGTAGCCGCTGGCCTCCCCTCGTGTTTACAACCGCTGGCGCTAGCCTCGTGTTTACAACCGTTGCATCACTCGCTCTGTAATGTGATGCAGTTGAAAGGGATGCGTTATAGGTGTACGATATGGAAAGAGGGAGTCAAACGCCTTCAGCTGGAAAACTTTCAACACCTCTGAACGTAGAACCCTTATGTCACTCAGCAATGACAACTTTGTCGGTTTTGCTTTCAGATAAAGCACAGAACGGCAGAAATGCTACATTAGTTCACGCGTCACACACCGCAATAATGAAATCAAGGCTCGTCATCCACGGCAGCGGGGCGTTCGGCCGAATCGGCGGCCGCATCGCACTTCTGACCTTGGCTGCTGTTGGCTGCATCCTGCTGATTAACGTGACGCATCCGCAGCAAGTCATAGAAGCGCGGCAAAACATGCAGCAGCAGGACCAGCCGGTGACGGCATCATCTTCTGAGGGCCTATACAGAGGACAGCCAATCAGCCAGCTCTGGGCACGCAATCTTCCCGAGCAGGCTTGGCTCCCCGACCCCCAGTGTCGCCACTTTGTCACCAAGTTCGCCCGGGACAATTGCCTGGAAGTGGTACGTCTAGCGTCCTTCCCGAGGTCCGGCAACACCTGGACCCGCTTCATGCTGGAGACGGCTACCGGCCTGTACACCAGCTCTGGAGGACCTAACTACATCAAGTATGTCAAGGGCGAAAGCTTACGACGTTCAGACGAAGAGATATGGAGCCACGTCAAGAGTCAAAAGAGGGCTGAACTAGCCCACCTTGGCTTCATTGGCGAGACAAGCCTCTGGACGCAGGGCACCACAATAGCGATGAAGACTCACAACTTTCCCGAGCCATGGAATGCCACAGAAGCCGAGATAGACGGATACAACTGGGCAACGTTTGCTGCCAACACCACGCGACGAGCCATTCTGGTTGTTCGAGACCCCTTCAAAGCACTCATATCGCTAAATATTTACAGCAAAACGCAATCCGTCCTCAACAACGATAACGATTGGCAAAAACTGTTTCAGGGAGACGAGTGGATTGACTTCGCGGCGTATCACGCAAACCATTGGTACAAACTGAACCGTCAGTGGGTAGAGAGAACGAATATGACGCATGTGGTGATATATGAGCACCTGACGACAAATACCATGCGGGAACTACAAGGCATGCTTCAGTTTCTGGATGTTCAGCCCGATCCGGATCGTATGGAGTGCGTGCGTCGTCACTTGGAGGGACGAGCTCACAACAAGAAACACGACATAGTGCCCAATCATACAGTGTATCCCCTACACCTGCGTGGATTGGTGTGGAGCTATATCCACCAGCTAAACTGGGTGCTGAAAACCAGGGGTTATAAGCCGCTGCCTCTGGACCTCTATACGTTTGCCGATGAGTTCAGAGACATTGGCTTGTGATAGCAGGACGACACTGCTGAATGTGAATTACTGTATCACGAAACTGTGCTCAGATTATAACAATGTTCGCATGGATGCATGCATGCATTACCCGAACTCCTTGCCTTGGGAAATGTCAAAGCAAGCACAAACATCGTGTGAATAATAACTTGCAACGGGTACGGTAAGAAGACTCTCAGAATGCAGCGAGTTTTCAGCGAAGTTCACTGCTACGGCAAAACAGCAGGCTCACAGGCTTCGCACGGTGCGTTTTCTATTCACTAAACAGGCTGACAATACCAAAATATTGCAGATGCATTGACAATTGGCAGTGGCGAAATTACGAAGACCTGGCAGTTACAGTAGTAGCAAGTGCAATTTTCTGGAGCTCTTAGAATGCGTTACAGCACTTCAACCGCACTGTAAAAACGGAGACTATGATTTGTACGTTCCTGGTTGTCGGCACATCACAACCGGTTGTCGTCAGGCATCCCGACAGCCATAATTTCGAGTCAGCAAGCATTCCCAAGCATGGTGTTGTGTGCGCCCCGGAATCATGCAAACACAAGTCATCCATACACGCTCCATCGCTAGAAAAGCAAGTCCGCACGAGTTTGCAGTTTCAATTTGTTTGGCTTGGGCACGACAAATAATGTTTTGGACTTCTACATTCGTGTTACAAATTGCATGCTTTACTTCATTACTCCAGCTAAATCTTTCCAGGATTTCATTTGCATACTTCAACTAAAAAGAAGAAAAAAGAACATGACGAGGTACTGAACGGCTTTTTGATACAAATGACGCAAGCGTACAAAAGCAACACCTCTGTTTTCTTTGCTGTGTGGACACCATGAGTGGTTAATGTGTATATCAAATACTAACCTCTGATTATTGGGTGACCAGATGTATGGACACGGAGTGAATAAGCTGCTCTGCCTTGACCATTCCAAAATATTTAGAAAAAATCAGCTATGATATGTTGAGCAGCACCTTGTAAATACCTCGCAAAGCTTTCTTCGCCATTCCCGGCCTGTACTCCCCTGGCTCAAGGACAGTGATAATCATCCAGCACAATTTGTAATCTGCTCAGCCATACTTTTGAAGTGTGTAGGCCAGCCAAAATCGACAAAATAGCAAAACAAGCACATTCATTACGTTCATGTCTTGTGATGGTAAGAGCACAACGGTATATGAGGCCAGGTAGCGCTGCTATGGTAACAATCTAATTACACGCATTCATATGGCAGAGACATCAAGGCCAATACACTATATGCGGTGTCAATGAGCAGCCAACATTCAGAGCATTTACAGCGGGGGTCAACGTCACGAAAGACATGGTGCTATTGGACGTGTTTTAGCATTCTATGTACCCTGGAGAAAGGACAAGTTGTGTGCCATTGCAGAAGTGTTGCTTCATGTGAACTGGTGGTTGTGCGAGTTCGTTTCAACGTGCCATGCTGGGGTTTTCAGCGTCACAATATACGAATGGGTGCACGCTCAACGACTCTAAGCACGATGCGGTACACTTGGCACATGCTAAATATCGCGCCCATCACAGAGAGCGGCCACCAATGGCGGGGCGGCACTCAGCTTACAGAGCAGGTAGTGCTGATGTACTTACAGAGCAGGTAGTGCTGTTGTACTTATAGAGCAGGTAGTGCTGATGTACTTACAGAGCAGGTAGTGCTGTTGTACTTATAGAGCAGGTAGTGCTGATGCACTTACAGAGCAGGTAGTGCTGTTGTACTTATAGAGCAGGTAGTGCTGATGCACTTACAGAGCAGGAAGTCCTGATGTACTTACATAGCAGACAGTCCTGATGTAGTTACAGAGCAGGCAACCTTAATGTACTTACAGTGCAGGCAGTGCTGATATACTTACATAGCATGCAGCTCTGATGTACGTACAGAGCAGGCAGTGCTGATGTACTTACAGAGCAACAACTCCTGATGTACGTACAGAGCAGGCAGCCATAACGTACTTACAGAGCATGCAGCGCTGGCATGCTCACAGAGCGGGCAGCCCTGGTGTACTTACAGAGCAGGCAGCCCTGATGTACTTACAGAGCAGGCAGCCCTGATGTACTTACAGAGCAGGCAGTGCTGATGTATTACAGAGCGGACAGCCCTGATGTACTTACAGAGCAGGCAGCCCTGATGCACCTACAAAGCAGGCAGGCCTGATGTACTTAGAGAGCAGGCAGTTCTAATGTACTTGAAGAGCAGGCGGCCTTACCCTACCTTGCACAGGCGTGATTGAGAGCCAACCTTGGATACATCTGGAAATCGTGATCACAAACGCCTAATAAAAAGGACTTCTCGGCAATTACGCTTTTCCTTGCTATGGCCGGGGAATGCTCGCATGCATCACTGAATGGCAGGATTGGTATGGCGTCAGTATGACGTCATGAACGCCATGGTGACCTTGAGATAGTCAGGTTTAGGTTTTAAGACGGGTAGGGCTGTGCACCGCACACAGTGATCTCGAAGATGACCATTTCAGTTCAAAACCCCATTTAGAAGTGGAGCACTCCCTTTGAGTAGAAAAGCAAGCAAGGCATGAACTGCAATTTGCTGCCTGCTGTACGCTTTGGGTCGGCTCCACGGGCTGAAGCGGAGCATCAGACGTTCAATGTTCCAGGACCATCGGCTGTGACGTCATCGCGCGTGAAGTGGCTGGGGAGCGATCCATGCCCCACATCTGACGGCGACCTCGTTAGATGCCTTCCGAACGAAGTGGCTGGGGAGCGACCCATGCCCCACATCTGACGGCGACCTCGTTAGCTGCCTCCCGAACGAAGTGGCTGGGGAGCGACCCATGCCCCACATCTGACGGCTTCCTCGTTAGCTGCCTCCCGAACGAAGTGGCTGGGGAGCGACCCATGCCCCACATCTGACGGCCTCCTCGTTAGCTGCCTCCCGAACGAAGTGGCTGGGGAGCGACCCATGCCCCACATCTGACGGCGTCCTCGTTTGCTGCCTCCCGAACGAAGTGGCTGTGGAGCGACCCATGCCCCACATCTGACGGCGTTCTCGTTTGCTGCCTCCCGAACGAGCGTCAGCGTCATGCTCACTGTTCAACCTAAAGGGTTGTGTAGCAGTCAGCTGGCTAACTGAGAGGCCTCCGTGCCACCGACTTCATCAAATATGGTATACTTGACGTCATGCAGGCTTTGCTTCCAAACCACCTCTATTCTCACGCAAGCTCGATGTTGGCACTTTTTCGGACCTGACGGTTCTACCTCGTCGGACAGCCTTGATTTAAACGCACTTAATGCTTTGTTGGGGTTAAGTCCTGACTCACAAAGACGGTGTGTTGCTCTTTTCTCAGCCTATATCTCAGGAGCATTATATGCTAGGGAGATATGTACCGGTTTTCCTGTTCATCCATCAGGTTCAGTGTTAGTTTGGAATGTAAATTGGGATTTCGGTTAGCTGAGCAAGGATAGGTGATAGCGATCACCTATTTGGAAATCCTGTCTAGCCTGAATGCTGGCTGATTGATGTACGAAATTTGTATTTGCATTTTAATTTGCTTTATATCATTATTAAACACTATTGAAGAACACTATTTTCCATGGAAAATAGTTTGGAAAAGAACATGGGAAAACTGGCAATTACTTTATATTGTGGGGTTTCTGCCTTCTGCCAACGTATGGAATAAACAATCTTACGTATTATTTGGGTCTTATAAACTACTGGAGCACACTCTAGACCTGGAGCACACTCTGTAACTGGAGCACACTCACACACCTGAATGAAATATATTTTTTTCTTATAGCATGCTTGATGGATAGGTACGCCAGCATATTTTTGTTGTCTGCACAACATTTGAATTGTCATTTAGGACTCTACATTAGCATGAAGACTATGGATGTGGTCAGCTTTGGGAAACAGCAAATTTTGATAAATATTGTGAGATTTATTGATGCTATTTTCGATCTTTTGCTGTATCCAGCAGTATTCAGTTTTAAGGTGTATGGGACATCTTTGGTTTGATTAGGGCAATGGTCTGTTTAATTGTGGTCCTTAATTGGTTTGGTAAGTCTAAACTTTGAATTAAGACATTTAAAGCGATATTGTGTCCATTTAACCGCAATTCATGCCGTGGCAACGTGCAAGGCATGTACTTACAAGTTGTCTCGAATAGAGCAAATAGTGCGACTTAGTCTTTAAGTCGGACCACATTTTGTCTGCCTCTCAACATTTTGGCACTACCATAGCCTTTGGGGTAATCTGTTGAGGTGGATATCATAGATAATTTGTTGTAAAGTGATGTGAAATATTTTGTTGTTGTTGACATATTATTAATAACTTCTTGCTTTGCTTGATTATTCTTCAGGCATATGCATGTGATTGTGGCCATAGAAATGTGGTTAACCTATGCACCAGTATAGCTTTTTATCCCAACTCTTTTTCAAGCGACATTGTCGGTGTAGTACTACATTGTGGTGCATATCTGTGTTGGTTGGTGATCAGTGTTTTAAAATGAGGCAGTCTCATTAACACGCGCTTGGGTGGAGGTCAAATTGCCCCCCAAAAGTTTTTCCAGAATGGTTTCCGAACGGCGCGGCGTAGTCGCGGCATATTTTGCATAGCTCTAGACAACTGAATAGCGGAACGTTTGACATAAAAAAATGTACCTTGTATGGTCGCTGACCTATGGTAGGTCAATTTCTAGGGAGTCATTCAATCTGATACAATAACAGAGTGTCCGACAAAGCCATGCATCATGAGATGCTTTCTTAGGCACCACAAATATTGAATGAAGAAATTAAGTTGATCTAAGGTCAGGTATGAAGGTCAAGTCAAGGTCAAAACCAACCTGACCTATTACTCTAAGGCTTACTGTATGGGATAGTTTGTGGTGCTCATCTCGAATTTATTGACAGCAAGAGCGGTATCACACATCTTCCACTGTTTTTTAGAGGCCAGAACAGGTCATTGACCTAGTATGATCGGTTCGATATTTTGTTTTAAAAACATACGGACTGGCGTAATATTTGTCGCTTATTAAAATGGAAAACTGGGAGCAGTGTTGTGCGATTTTGATGACCATGACTTAAATTATTTTCGACTTAAAAAAGTCGAACAAGGTCACTGACCTCATATGAGCTTGTAACCTTTCGCTTAGAAACAGTTGCCTTGGTTCTGAGGGCACTTTAGAGACCAACCCGGAATCTTGACCTTAGTTTACCTGATTTTATCTGAAGCTTATAACCTCAGACACTCAAACTTTGACATAAGTGATTTCACGTACAGTTCAAGACACCCTGTAAGTTTGGTGCCCCTAGTTTTCTTAGATCCAGAGATCTGAGTGAGGGAGTCAAATTGCCCCCCTGCCCACCCGAGCGAAGGATATCTAACCGGTCACCGGGGCGCGTGTTAGGGGCCTGTCGTTCCTAATCAGTACCTACGAAGGGTGGTTGATAGCAATTTTGAAATTAGCAGACACGGCCAACTTTATGCTCCACTCCATTGTTCAAGAGGCATAGATTCAGGCATGCACTCGAGTGTTTCTTATGCTTTGTCTAACACCTCACATCAATGCATCATTGTATACTGTCAACAAACGTAAATTCTTTAATCCAGAGCGACGTTATTCGTTTGTGCGACACCTTTTTGATCATAAATGCGGCTCCGCCAAGCCGAGGATAAATGACGTCGGCCCACCCCAGCAGGCTGCAGCGTCGACCACCAGGCGGCAGCACCATCGGACCGTCGTGCCGGCCCACGACGAGTCCAATGCAGGTTTCTGGGCGGGCCAAGAGCGGGCCAGTGAGGGCTGTAGCCGTGCCAGCGGCGGGTCGATTGTGCCTGGCGGCTGCCGGCCGGGTGCACCGGCAGCCACGGCCCGCTGTCACGGGAGCAGGACCGGCGTGCCAGAGCCACCGTTACGGCCTGACCCACCGGGGGCGGACATCGCGGCTCGTGTAACGGGGCGCGACAGACCACCTGAGACCGGCCACAACAGCCGTGAGTGCATCAGGCACAACCTGCAAGTTCTGGGAGCAGTATACGCCTGCGACAAAGACCGACTCTGCGACTTAGTGTGATATGAGTTGGCATTACGTGAATCAAACCACTTTGTAGTGTGATTTCAATGTTAAACTTGTGTTTGCCTGATTTCCCATGTCGGACAAAATGTTGCAAGCATAATAAGATTTTATGAGTCTCATCATTGAGCCGCCTAAGACGGCGTGTTCGTAAGATCGAAAAGTTGTAGCGTAAGTCATTGCACAATAAATATGCTGTCATTCACAAATTTGTCTACTCGTATATACATACACATATGTATATATATATATGCATATCTATATATACATGTGTACATACATAGCGTGAAAAGTGTGCACTTGTATA